TCCGTTTGAGGGGCTTCCTCTCTTTTACTGACCGTCTACTTTCCCAAGCATGGCAACATTTTCCAAAGACTGGTCCCCTGAGAACATGTCCAGCATCCGTGGTGTGAGGTCTCACTGACCTTGCTTCGAAGGAGCAGCTTGACTGGGCTTCTTCCAAAACAGGCCCTTCTCTTCTCGTCCACGGTGTGGTCAGCGTCCTTCGCTGACACCACAATTCAAAGGCCTCGTCAGTTGCTGTGTCTGTGTGTGCTCACTGCCCGCATTGGGGAGTAGTGATGGGCTTTGTCGGGGGGACTGATCTGAGTGACGTGCAGTGAGTCAGCCGTCACCGAGATACACATTCCTACAGGCTGCCAAGGCCTCCGCTCGGAGCCAGCACCTATGCAGTACCTTGAGGGCCTTCTCATCCCAGTGGCCGCTAAAGGAAAGGTCTGTGTGTTCACCCCTAGACAGACCTGGTCTGGGATAGCAGTCCCGGTGTGAGTGTCATCTAGTCATCTCCGGCTCATGGTCACCCTCACGTGCAGCGCAGAATTGCTCCATTCAAGGCTGTGACCTCTCAGAGACCACCCAGCCTCTCTCTCCAAAGTGTCCCTGCATGGGCTGAGTCACAGACTTTACAGCTGGAAGCCGCGTGCTTAACTATTGGCACCAACACGGGCCTCCGTAAGGGCACTAAACTCCCGCGCCACCATCAAGCACATCACAGCTCACAGCAGCCCCGGAGGACAGAGCAGAGCTGGGGCCACCTTCTAAGGCTGTAATCATTACAGAGGTGGGTGCTCCATTCTTCTCCTGGGGAGCAGTCGGGGCCTCGAAACCTCCGACCTTTTGGTAACAAGCCCACTGTTTAATTCACTGCAACACCAGGGCTCTGTAATAGGAACGAAACCCCTCCCCCTGCCAAGAACCCCTCCTCCCTCAGAAAGGCCCCTCCTCCCCATCAGTCCTGCCTCAAGAGGACCTCAGTGGAGAGTCTAGCCTGTCAGTCTTTACAGAGAGGGAGTACTCATCCTCCTCCCACTAAACCACCGATGGATTTGAACACATCACCTTTCGGTCCTCAGTGCTCCTTACATCAGGCACCAGCCCCTCGCAACCCCCTGCCAAATCCTACTTTATCCATGAAATGCGCTCGATGCAGTCTTAGTCCAGTTCCAACATTTAAGCTAGAACATCCCCTCCCCCCACCCCTTTGCTCCTGAGACAATTCACATCAAACTAGCCGAAATACAGAAACCATCATACCATCTTTTATTAGGGTTTGAAGCAAAGTTTAAATAACTAATTTCATCCCAACAGTTTAGACATTTTGGTCAATAAAATAAATTTCAAGAGGGGAGCTCTGGTGGCCTAGTGGCAAGGAGCTGCAACTACAATCCCAGAGGTGCACGGTTCGAATCCACCAGATGCTCTCCCGGGGAAGGCGGCACAATCTCCTCCTGTACCAGTCAGATCTCATTTGGCGGTACACTCACACAAAAATAATAAAAAAAGAAAAATAAATAAATTTCAAGACCCACATTATAATAACTCCTGTGTTTTTATTTCCTCTCTATAATTGTGGAATTGTATTTATCTGTAAAAAAATAGGAAGCCTGTCCACCCTGGCTTCCTTTCGCCTTCAGTCGGCCTCTGAGAGATTCTGACTTTCTTTCTTCACCACAAGGGGGAGAGCGAACCCAGCAAACCACAACTTGTGTGCCCCTCTGTCTCCTCTCTTCTCTTTTCTTCTCCTTCTCCTTCCCCTTCTTCTCTCCCTCTTCCTCTCCCTCCCTCCTCCTCTCCCCCTCCTCTCCCCCCACCCCCTCCTCTCCCTCTATCTCCTCTCCCCTTTCTCCTCTCTCCTCTCTCTCCTCTCTGTCTAGTGGTAAGGAGTTGTGCTGTCAACCAAAGGCACATGGTTCAAATTCATCAGGTGCTCCCTGGGAGAAAGATGAAAAATCTTCTGTGTGATTTACAGGGTCAGCTGTGGGTCATTCTGATGGTCATTCGATGGTACACAACAACAACAACAACGTCCTTCTCACCATGCCCCTCAGTTCCAAGCTCTTCTCTTGCTCACCCCTCTGCTTCCCTCTCTCCTCAATGTCCCTCACTCTGTATCCTAGCCTTTTCTAGCTCGCTCTCCATTCTCTGCTCTCTCCAGCTCTCCTTTTTTTCTCTCTCCAGCTCTCCCATTCCCCTCTCCCCTTCCCTCCTCCCTCTCTCTGATCTCCATTCTCAGCCTGTCTTCCCTGTTCTCTCTCCTCTCTGTTCTCTCTCTCTGTCCTCTCACACATCCCCTTCTGCTCTCTCACCTCCCCAACTCTCTCACATGCTCCCCCCACTCTTTCTCTCCCTTTCTTCATTCTCTCCCCCATTCCTTCTTTCTTTCTCCCTCTCTTCTTTCCTTCCAGTTTTCTTTTAGTAATTACAGATCATTTTAACCTCAAAGACACTTCATGATTTGTCCAGCTCATTCTCTTCCACCCTTGCCTATATTTAATTTTTTATTTATCTCTTTGGCCACAGAGACTTTTGGAAAGCAAAAGCCAGCCATGCTGAGTGGGCAGGGGCCGCCCAGTTGAGAAATTGCTCTAACAGCCCATCTGAACCTCGTCCAGCTCAGCTGGAGTTTATTTCCTCATGTCACATAGTCATTAGTTATGGAGAACAGCTGGCCGCTGTCTTGCTCCACGGCCTATGAATCTTCAAGTTGGCGACACTGTCCAGCTCAGGCCCCTCTGCCCAGCCGGGAGAGCCTCTCACTTGGCCCCAGAGCCACGGCCCAGACCTCTGACACCTACTCCCCTCCAAATTCTCCACGTCACCAACATGCCCCCTCGCTGTCCCCCGACAACAGGTGCTGGGGGAAATGGAGGGTCTGAGGAAGAGAGGAAGACCCTCAACATGCTAGATGGACACACTGACAGTATCAATGGGCTGGACACTCCAGAGGCCACGAGGGTGGTGCAGTATAGACACGTTCTGTCTGCTGTTCACAGGATGGTGATAAGTCATAGCCGACCTGACGGCATGAACAGTGACAATACGGACAGAACACAGACTAACTGCTCAGGAGAGAAGACACGCTGCTTCCTCGTGCCCCGGGTCCTCTGCAGATCCCTGTGTAGCGAGTTTTCTGTTTAAATATCAACACGATGCTTTTTCTTGTTTGGTGGCACTGGTGCAGAGAGCACAGCTGCTCCCGAGGGTTTTCCAGCAGAGAAGGGCCCCAGTGTCCCCTAGACAGAAGGCCTGGAAGCAGACGGCCCACTGTGTCCCTGGAGCAGCTGCTGGACCTGATTCACTGACCATTCAGTCAGCAATGTAACACATAACTCTCTGCACCACCAGGTATTGGAACCAGCAGAGCAAAAATGATGGATGAAACCTGCTTGAACAGCTGATTCAGACACAGAGGTTCCTGGTGCTCAGATGAAATATCCACATCAAGTCCACAGCAGGAAGGAAGGTGGGAGTCAGCCCCTCCCAGGATTTGGGGTGGGTGGGGGGCAGGTCGTGTTCCACAGGGAAGCTGCCGAAGCCCATTCTTGATTAGCTCCAGGCTGATAAGCAGCTGATTACCCTGGTCCTTAAGGGAACTTCTTCCTTTTCCTCTTAGACTTTATTGCTTTATTATTATTGTAATTATTTCTGAGTGTCTCCACCCAAAGGCTCAGTAGAGCCCGGGAAGAACGCCAAGAGAAACCTTGTGGCCCATAGTTCTGCTCCAAGGCACGTGGTTCGAATCCAGCTCTCCTGCGGGAGAAGGATGGGCAAGCGCTATCCACACGATTTCCTGCCTCTGAAAACCCACCGGAGGGTCAGCTATGTGTCAGTTCTGACTCGCTGGCACAGCAATAACAAAATGTACACTCCAAGGAGCCATGGTACGGAGTGTTACGTATTGAGCTGCCAAACCAGTGGCCCCATAGGAGACACAGCCCGGAGCCAGCATGAGTCACAGGACAGAGACCAGATTGCTGACTCCCACCCGGCCTGTGGCTCTGGCTTCAGATCCACCCCCAGAACAGGTTCTTGGTGAAAAGAGGCCCCAGGCACAGGGGAGCAAAGTGCAGCTTCCTCTCCAGGCTTGCTTCGCCTCCATTGCCGGCTGCAGATCAGGCCTCACAGTCTGCTCTGCTTGTGATGGCTGCCTTTCAGGTGCAGACCACCAGGCTTCTCTTCCTGGTCTCTCTTCGTCTGGAGGCTCCACTGACACTCCACTGCTCAGCATCAGAACACTGGCAGATGGGGGACGTGTGGCTGTGAGGGCCACTGGCTGGGAACCGAATCTGAGCAACTGCTTCTGTGTCACTCCAATCCCTCAGCGCATCTGTGTGTCTCCCCCCTCTCTCCCCAACTCACTGCGGTCGGATCAGAACCTCATAGTTAACCCACCAGCAATATTCTGAGGCTGCAAATCACAAAGGAAGAGGTTGCCCATTTTTCTCCAGGGGGCAGCTGGTGGACTGGAACCACCGATAGACGCTTTGGGGTTACCCTACGCCACCAGAGCTCCCTCATCAAGGAGCTGCAGAGCTGTCGAGAGGAATACATGGTTTGGGAAACACTGGTCTCCATCACTGTGGTTTCTGAAGGGCAGACTCAAACGTGACAATGACATCACTGAATTAGCTCAGTGTCACTCCAAGCTTGTCCAGCAGGTTAGGGGTCAACATGAGATTCCAGAATGGACCTCAGTCAAAGCACCAACCCCGACCACTGCCATCCAGCCAATGCCCACTGACAGAGGCCCTCCAGGATGGGGACAAGTTCCCACAGGGCTCCCAAGGCGGTGACTGTCACAGCTTTCACTCAGTGAGATGCTTATAGATTTGAACCAGCAACCTTTTGGTTTGTGGCAGTGCTTTAACCACCGCAGCACCAGGGCTCTGCTCAAGGCTCACAAGGGGAGTGTCTCTAAATGCCCAGAGGGAAGAGACAGGCAGAGCCAAGGCCCCCACCCCACCCTCCACATCCCACACTGCCTGCTCCATGCCCCACGCCCGTACCTGTGGCTCCTGGTCATAGCTGCTGGCGTCCCGCTCATAGCTCTCCGCGTACAGCCGGATGGTGGCCCGCACACCGCTGGACGAACTGAGCCGGAAGATGAGCCGTGATGCGTCCGAGAAGATGATTCGCAGGCCCTGTGACCAAGAACATCCGCAGTGGGTCAGTGACCCATGGACACTCAGGGAACAATCCAGGCTGGAAATCTGTCACTGTGTCCTGCTGTGGTGGCTTGCTGTCTGCTGTGATGTTGGAAGCTCTGGTGGCCCTGTGACAAGAAGCTGAGCTGCAATCCCTAAGGCACATGGTTCGAGGCCACCAGCTGCTCCACAGGAGGATGGGCAGTCTCCTCCCCTGCAATCAGCTCCCTCTGAAAACCCGTCAGAAGGTCAGCTATAGGTCGGTTCTGACTCGATAGTCAACAACAACAGGAACAACAACAACAGGGTAGACAGGTCTCAGTGGAGCTTACCACCTCGGATAGATTAGTCAGTGAGCACCTGTGTATCGCCACAGAAGACCGTCTGATAAGGTGCTGCAAGATGGGTCCCCTGTGTTGGAGGCACTGCACAGCCACCCAGCGTGGCCCGGGACCGCCTGCCGTACATGGGATCCCATGACCAATGTGGACTCAATAGCAACTCATACCAATAGAAAACCTCACAACTGAGGGCTGGATGGAGAGAAAAGGCACACTGTGAAGAATTTCATGTGACTTGTATCCACAATCATGCCGATGTAAGCAACAGTCAAGAAGTCCAAAGATGTGATGCACTGAACAAATCTGCTGTCAGAGACCTCTCGTAAGTACTGAAGAGCAACGATGTCAGTCTGGAGACTAAGGTGTGCCTGATTCAGACCATAGTCTTTGCAATCACTTGTTATGCATCAGAAAGCTGGACAATGGCTAGGGATGATAGGAGAATTGATACTCTGGATAAGAATATTGAGTATACCATGGACTGCTAAAAGAACAAACAGGCTCATTCTAAAGAGGGTGAAACCAGCCTGCTCCTTGGAGGCAAGGATTCTGAGGCTTCATCTGACATACTTTGGGCATGTTGTAAGGAGGGACCAGTCCTTGGAGAGGGACGTCATGCTTGGGAGGGTGGAGGGACAGGGCAGGAGAGGAAGACCCTCAATGAGTTGTATTGATTCAGTGACTGGGGTAATGGGGATAGGTGTGTTGGAGACAATAAGATTAGCACAGGATAGAGCAGAGTTTAGGGCTGTTGTATGTAGGGTCACTATGAGTCACAGGCAATCTGATGGCACATAACACCACCACCACCACATATGTGTGTGAAGTTGGACAATGAGTACAGGAGAACGGGCACCTTTGTCCTGTGGTGCTGGTGAGGAGGACTACTAACTACACGTACACTGTAAGAAGAACTAGCACGCGCGCCCTCTCTCTCCCTCTCTCCCTCCCCAATCTTGGAGGAATCGCAGGGACTTTGCTTCTCCGCATCAAGGGTGGTGGAACCCTGCCTCACGTTGGCTCTGTTGTCAGAAGGAGCCAATTCTTAGGAAAAGCACCTCATGCTGGGTAAAACAGAGGATCGGTGAAAGAGAGGAAGACCCTCAGATAAACTGACACGATTATAACAACAATGGGCTTGAGCTCGGGGATCACGAGGATGGAGCAGAGTTCAGGTCTGCTGTTCACAGGGACTCCATGCTACTAATAACAGAAACACAGCATAGAAACCAGGATGTGTCCATGAACCATGTGAGAGCAAGAATAAGAGGAACTGGGTGTATCTGACTACAGCTGTCTAGAAGGGAAGCCTTAACAGTATTTCAGTCTTGACCTGAGTCCAGAATGTTATAGCCACATTTGCTTACAGCACTTGCTCTGATCTCCACACTGCCCTAACCTGGAGCCTGAAGAAGACATTTCTTTTCTCTGAGATCTGGCAGGTGCAAAAAATCTCAATCTATTCCCAGGTTTTCCTCTTATGGTCCAAGAGATGCCAGATGCAGTAGATGATACCCAAAGGGCCTTGATGAACATCATCGAGAAATCCTTAAAATGAAGCCCCAGAAAAAGACAAGATGGAGAGAAGCAATTTTATCTGAACAGCAACCGATCTAAAAACAGGGAGCTCTGGTGGCTTAGTGTTAAAGAATTATGCTGCCAACCCAAAGGTCCATAGTTTGAATCTACCAACTGCTCTAAATGAGAAAGATGGGCAATCTCCTCCTGTGTGATTTCCTGCCTCTGAAAAACTGTTGGAGGGTCAGCTAGGAGTTAGGTCCAACTCACAGTGCACAACAATAACAATCTGAAAGTACTATCTCATCATTGTACGGTGTCCGTGTGCTAATATATTTGTAAAAATGCACACTTATAATTAAGCATCCTTACCCAATCATGGGATCACATATAGATAGTACACACCTCTCCTTGCTAAATCTAATCTTTTAAACATCCACCTTAGTTTCCTCTGATTTCTCTTCCAGCCAAACATGATTCTGCAACTTGTTGTTTCAGTTCCAACTGTACAAAAATATTTTATTCTTCAATGTCCAGGGGAGAGGCCATTTTCATTCTATGAACATGGACACCTTCTGGATCCTAAACATCTCTGTTCCTCAATGCGTTTCTTTTGCTTTTATGTTAAGCAGACCCTGTGATGTTGCTCTACCATGTAAGCTAAAAGCAATCAAGGTCACATTGTTATGTGTCGTCGAGTTGCCTGTGACTCATAGAGAGACCTTACGTTCAACAGCCCTGAACCCTGCTCGAACCTGTGCCAACATTATTGTCTCTGACACACCTACCATCATTACCCCAGTCACTGAATCAATCCATCTCATCGAGGGTCTTCCTCTCTTGTGCTGTCTCTCTACCCTTCCAAGCATGATGTCCCTCTCCAACATGCCCAAAATATGTCAGATGAAGCTTCAGAATCCTTGCCTCCAAGGAGCAGCCTGGTTTCATCCTCTCCAAGATGAACCTGTTTGTTCTCCTAACAGTCCACAGTATATTCAATACTCTTCTCCAGCACCACAGCTCAAAGGCATTAGTTCTCTATCCATCATCCCTAGTCATTGTTCTGCGTTCTGACACATAGCAAGCAATTGCAAAGACTATGGCCTGGGTAAAGCACACCTTCATCTCCACACTGACATCACTGTTCTTCAGTACCCTGGAGGGGCCCTGACAGCTGACTTTCCCAATGCAATTTGTCTTCTAAATTCCTGGCTGCTGATAACAAGAGTGTTGATTGTGGAGCCAAGCAAACTAAAGCTGTAAACAATCTCAATCTTTTCACCATCAAAATGCTGCCAATCAGCCCCACAGTGAGAATCTTTGTTTTGTTGATGTCGAACTTCAATCCATAATGAAGGCTGCAGTCCTTGACTTTCAACAGCAAGTGCTTCAGGTCCTCCTCAGTTTCAGCAAGCAGGGTTGGGTCATCTGCATAACACAGATTGTTGATGAGTCTTCCTCCAATCTTGATGCTATACTCCTCCTCATGGAGCCCAGACTCCTGGATGATATGTTCTGTACATAGATTGAAAAGGTATGGAGATAGGACACATCCCTGGCATACGCCCTTCCTGATTTTGAACCATGAAGTGTTTCCTTGCTCTGTTCTAACAACTGCCTCCTAGTCCAAGTAAAGGTTTAACATAAGCACAATCAAATATTCTGGGATTCCCATTCCCCTCAGAGTCAGCCACAGTTTGTTGGGATCCGTACAGTCAAATGTCTTTGCACAATGAAACACAGACATTCCTCTGATACTCTCTGCTTTCAGCCAAGATCCATCTAACATCAGCTATAATATCCCTAGTACCATAAACTCAGCCTGCACATTCGGCAGTTCTCTGTTGATATTCCAGTCATTTTTGGATAATCTTCAGCAGAATCTTGCTTGCATGTGATATTAATGATGTTGTTGTTGTTATGTGCCATTGAGTCGCCTGCGACTCATAG